TTCTTCTTCTTCTTCTTCTTCTTCTTCTTCTTCTTCTTCTTCTTCTTGATGACCCAGAGGGGTGTGGCACAAAGGCAACACAGTCAGATAATCAGTAGGTGTCCCTTTATTGGCTCCAACTGCTCCCAATGTCCTGGTTACCTTCTGGCTGGAGAAAAACTCTCCCAGGAACAGCCTTTAGCAGCAGAGAATCAAGTCCAAAACGTGGTCAATAAAAGCTGTAACTATAAGTCCTATCAAGGCAAAATGAGGTAATTAATCTGGCAGGGCAAGAGAAGGAATTCCAGAAGGAACGGCAGTAATTCAACCCGGTTGGGAGGATGCCAGGAATGCAGATAACCAAAGTCAACACAAAATAAACTCACGTTTGTTCTCAGCACATGCCGCACTCAGCTTGCATCTCTTTTAAACTCTCATTCCCAGGTGTGGCTAATGAAGGGAATCAGGGCCCTTTCCTCAGGGGTGGATTCAAATTTCTTAACAACCGGTTCTGTGAGCATGGCCTAATTTGTGGGTGTGGCTTGGTGGTCATGTGACTGGCTTGTATGTAACTATTATAAATGTTTATGTAAATATTGAATTTTTTTTATATAAAAAAGCAACTTTTACCCAAAATCAGACAAAGCAGGCAGGCAGATTGAGTTGCTCACAGAATCACAGATTCACTCAGAGATCTACCATTCTGCAATCTGCTAGCTGAGTCTGTCACATAAAATTTGCTAGCAAGCAAACTCACAAAATTAACTCACAACACACCATGTGTGTAAACATTGATTTTTTTTTTATAAAAGTTTTCTATAAAAAACTTTTACCCAAAATCAGGCAAAGCAGGCATACAGATTGAGTTGCTCACAGAATCACAGATTCACTCAGAGATCTACCATTCTGCAATCTGCTTGCTGAGTCTGCACTGAAAATTAGAAGCTTCCGTCCTAAGGGAGATTCAGCTTTTAGATTAGCTAGAAAGCAAGAAATCCAACGATTTACTGCTTTCTAGCTAATCTAAATCTCCCCTGGCACAGCAGAACAGCTGATGGTCGGGGTGGGGGAAGGAAAAATATCAACGTACCAAACACAGGCAAGTTTGATGGCGCGCATGCCAGGTAAGGAGTGAGTGGGTGGGGAGGGGAAAGGAAGGGAGGGGAGGGGCCAGCCAGGGGCATGATTTGCCGTTTCTCTGAACTGGACAGAATCATAACAACCAGTTCTATAAAATCGGTCCGACCATGTAGAATCCCACCCCTGCCTTTCCTCCCCCGTAAGCCATGCAATCCATGTTTCTCATTTCCTCCCTGCGTGCCCTAGAACAGTGATCCCCAACCTTTTTGATGCCGCGGCCCGGTACCGGCATCAGCTGGGCGCCGCAGCCCGGTACCGGCATCAGCTGGGCGCCACCATCTTTTTTTGATGAAAAAGTGCTTCCGGTGAGCTTTCTACCCGGAAAAGCTCACCGGAAGCACTTTTTCATCAAAAAAAGATGGCGGCGCCCAGCAAACCAGCGGCCCAGTAGGACTTGTTCCACGGCCCGGTACCGGTCCGCGGACCGGTGGTTGGGGACCCCTGCCCTAGAATGAAGAGGGGGTGGGCCTGGATCTTCTTCTGAACTCCCTCTCCCTTGTTCTACCTCTTCCCTGCTCTGCCCAGCTGGACTTTACCCTTCCCCAGTTTCCTCCACAGCCAACTGAGTCACATTCCCGCTCCCTGTCAGCTGTTCGCCTTCCTCCTCGGATTCAGACTCCGACAGGGGCATGACATTCTTCTTCTTCTTCTTATCATTATCATCATCATCATCATCATCATCTCTTTCACTGAATAGCTATGGAAAACTTGATCTTGCTGATCTTAATGAGAAAGCCATCTTTGCGTAAAGATTAAATGCATGAAAACGAATCTCTTTCTTTCTTTTTTTAGCAGCCTAATAAATTCTCGGGGAGAGTTGAGAGTGAAATTAGCAAAAGCTAATGAGTGAGTTTGGTGAAGAAACAGTTTCGTCTGACTCTTAAAAACTGGAGAACTGTGTCAAAAAAAAAATCAGTGAAAGCACTTTGGATGTCTCGCTTCGCTAGGGACTTTTAACTGTCCTATCTTTGCACACTGAATCTTAAGCTAATCGCTGCTAGAGTTTTATGGAGTTGATCTCTCTAAATCTTCCATTTAGGGAAACAGGACTTTAAAGATAGAAGATAAATCACTGAAGAGATTGATCCTCGGGCAAACTATCAGATACTCCAAGGGAGACTGGTGATTGTAACTAGGACTTCACAGGAAAGTTCATTTCTCTTTAATTCTCCCATGCCAGTTTCATTACTGGAACTCATATTAGAGGCAGGAAACCCTTTTCAACTGCTGCACTGTTCTTTTGAAGCTATCCTGGATTCAAATATGCTGCCTAAAAGAAGATAACTGGCTGCTGGGGGGGGGGGAAGGATGGTCCACAGTGATCATAACAGAATAACAGAGTTGGAAGGGACCTTGGAGGTCTTCTAGTCCACCCCCCTTCTCAAGTAAGAGATTCTGTGCCTGTGATGGCGAACCTATGGCATGCGTGCGGGAAGTGGCATGCAGAGTCATCTCTCTGGGCATGCCAGCTGTCGCCTGTTCCTCTTTCGGGTTCCAACGCACGCCGGCCAGCTAGTCTTCATGCATGCATGCAGGCCAGAAACCAGAAGATCAGGTGGCCAGTGTGCAGGTACACACTGGAAACCAGAAACTCAGCTTCTTGGCATGCACATGCACACCAGGGAACTGCTCTTCTGGTTTCCAGTACTCACCCACATGTGTGCACACGCTCCTGTTTCAGCATTCAGTGCTGGAAACGTTCGCTAACACTGCCCTATACCAGGGGTGGGATTCTACTGGTTCGGACTGGTTCGGGCAAACCGGATGTTAAATTTGCATCTGGTTCACCGAACTGGTATTTGAACCAACTGGATAGCCCAGCCCACCCTGCCTTGCTACTCTCAGGAGTCTCCATGCAGCCCATTTTCGATGCAGGAAAGTGCAGGGTCTGCGCAGAGGCTCTGGAAGGGGGGAAACGGCCGTAGCAGAAGTACTGGAAGTCACAAAACGGTCCTCTTTCCAGCTTCAGGAGGGCCTCCAGAGCCCGGGGAGGCCATTTTCACCCTCCCCGAGGCCTGAGGGAACCCTTGCGAAGGCAAAAAAATGGCCCTCTCGGAAGTTCTGGTAGGCCACGCCCACCATGGCCACGCCCACCCAGCACCTGGGCAGCAAATTGATTGCTGGGATTTTTGAATCCCACTCCTGCTCCTGTACCATTTCAGACAGGTGGGATTTTCTTTAAACTTCCAGTGATGAAGCGCTTACAAGTTTCTCAAGGCAAGCTGTGTCCTCGCTGTTAGAAAGTTTCTCCTTAAATCCAGGTTGCTTCTCTCCTTGATTAGTTTCCATCCATCGTTTCTTGTCCCGCCTTCGGGAGCTTTTTGGAAAATAAGTTGATCCCTGCCACAGTGCGACTAGGTGAGAAAACCCAGGAGCAAATACAACATGCGAAGGTTTGTAATAATATAGTGGTTTTTTTCTCAACCAAAACATATCTACATACAAGTACTTTGAGACAGGCCTTGAACAAACAGCAATCGGTAATTTACAGCACAGAAGCACACATGGAGAAAGAGATACATCCTCACAGGGCCTCTCTTATATTACAGAGAGGCCCTGTGAGGGTCTTTTAAAGCGGTAGCAGTCAAATAACCCTGCACCATCCTTACAGCATTGCAGTATTACAACATTACAGCAGCTGTCCAGCTATTAAATCATCATTACCCTGACAATCCCCTCTTCTTTTTGGCAGTCCCTCAAAAACATAATGTTTTGAACAATAGACAAGCTACTGTATTTATAAAATCATTCATGTAGGTAAAGGTAAAGGTTCCCCTCGCACATATGTGCTAGTCATTTCCGGCTCTAGGAGGGCAGTGCTCATCTATGTCACAAAGCTGAAGAGCCAACGCTGTCTGAAGACATCTCCGTGGTCATATGGCCAGCATGACTATAAACGCTGAAGGCGCACAGAATGCTGTGACCTCCCCACCAAAGTGGTTCCTATTTTTCTACTTGCATTTTTACACGCTTTCGAATTGCTAGGTTGGCAGAAGCTGGGACAAGGAACGGGAGCTCACTCCGTGACGTGTCACTAGGGTTTCGAACCGCTGAACTGCTGATGTCTCTGATCGACAAGCCACTGAAGCCACCGCGTCCCCACCATTCATGTAGACTAACATACCATTCACTTATTATGTGAGAGCAGTCTGCTAAGACTTTGGAACTTTGCTTTTTTGTTCAAAAGAAACTTTTGAAGCCTCGCAAGAGAGAGAGGCGCCCCCGCAGTGTTCAATTCCTTCAATATTTCAAAAGCCTTCACACAAAAAAAGTCAGCCTTTGCTGAAATAGTTCAAGTGTCAGAAGCCAAAAGCCCCATGAATCCTGTAATATTCGATATTTAGCTGTAAGCTAGCATTCTTGCAAGGAAATTATAGAATACAGGAGCACAGTGACTCACATAGTTAGGTGGCTGGGTTGACAAGCAGCAAGTCTGCGTTTGAGATCCCAGTGCTGCTGTAGTTTGGGTGAGCTCCTGTCACTTGCTCCAGCTCTTGCCAATCTATCAGTTCAAAAGAATGCATTCACGAGTAGACTGATGTGGGCATATTAACATTAACTAATTTTCTTTTTCTTCCTTTCTTCCTTCCTTCTTTTCTTTCCTTCCTTCTCTCTCTCTCTCTTTCTTTCCCTTCCATCTTCCTTCCTTTCCTTCCTTTCCTTCCTTCCTTCTCTCTCTCTCTTTCCCTTCCATCTTTCATTTTTTTCCTTTCTTTCTTTCTCTTCCATTTTCTTTCCTTCCTTCCTTCCTTCCTTCCTTCCTTCCTTCCTTCCTTCCTTCCTTCCTTCCTTCCTTCCTTCCTTCCTTCCTTCCTT